GTGATCCCGTGGGTAGGTTTGGGCAGCGGCATCGACAACCGGGACGTGGTGCGGAAGATTGGGTTGCGCGGTTGCAAGAGAGGATGGATAATTGTGCCACGATGATGTGCAAGCGTTCTGGAGGGGTTAGCCTACAGCTAGATGTGAAACAGCATGGGCACGGGCACGCGCTGACCGACATTGTAGAGATCCTTTTCGTCAGCAACAACCCGTGCTGTACTTCTGCCTGTGTGGTGCGCATGAGAACACAACCAATTCAGATGCCAAGACGCTCCGCTCCGCACGACGTGTACCAATGATGGCGTTTCGGATCGATGCGTACAAGTAATAAACAAACTATTATTATAGCACGTTGTTGCCGACTCTCTGACTCGCTCAAGCTCACCGAACGCGTGCCCTCCGCCGATAAGAGCCACGGTCTCGCTGTCGTTCATGCCCATGCGCCCAAACACGTCACGGATATCGGCAGCGCTGCCGGCGGGGTCGGGAACACCGAGGGGCCCCTCCGGGTTCACTGGGGATGTATGGGGGAGGTAGGAGAGTTTCGCCGTCAACAGCAGTGGTTGTTCTGTTGATGGAACACTCAAGGTAAATAATTGGTTGATTACATCAAAATACTAGAAGAATACCCCGAGCAGGGGCGGTGCAGAGAAAATGAGCGTGAGCCTTCGAGAGGAACACAGGGAGGGGCAGTGGCGCGTAGATGACTAGGTACTCCGGCATGCAGGCACTGGCAAACCGCTGCCGAAATCACGAGGTACATGTCGCCGAGCGGGGGTCCAAGCTCCAACGCCTACGTCCGCGCGTGTGGCGTCGTCGTCATGGGGTGCAAAACCAAAGGTGAGCTACCTACATCTATCGACTACGCATTTGTCTGGCGGGAAACTATGTAGCGCCAGTTTTACTCACTTCTCCATGTCAGGGGGAACAAGACCAAAGGAGAGGAGAGCTACCTACCTGTCTGTGTATTTTCGATTTTCGATGGAACACGGCGGTGACAAGACCCACCCTCATCACTACGCATTGCCCCAGTGACAAAACAAACACCGCCGTTTTACTCACCGTAGATCAACCCCACCGTGCTGGTGCCGAGGGGGAACTCGCACGTCCCGTTGACGGCGCAGGGAGCGACGGCCTCCTGCTCGGGTGAGGGTCCGAGCTCGAGGCTGTCGAACCCGGAGGCGTCGTCCAGCCTCCCGGCGCAGAACCCAAGCACGGGGCCCCCCATCGACCTGATCGCCTCGTTACCCGTGAGGGTGATGAGGTCCCCCCACGAGACGGCGTCGCCGTACTTGAGCTTGATGGGCTGCAGCAGGGTCAGCGCCTTGTCGAGGTTGGTGTTGTCGGCCCAGCTGCGCTCCGGGTTGAAGCGGATCCGGCCGCCGTCGCACCCGCCGCGGCCGTCCGACTGGCGGTAGTTGCCGTTGCAGTGCCACGCGAGGCGGATCATCAGCGGCGCGTAGTTGCCGAAGTCCGCCGGCCAGAAGTCCTGCGAGTCCGTGAACACGGCCGTGATGTCGGCCTGGAGTGCTTCGTAGGTCTCCCGCGAGAAGTCCGCGCCGCTTCCGGAGTAGTAGCTGTCATCGTAGGACCTCAGGGCACGGTCCACGCCGGTGCCTAGGTCGGGTTGCGAGCCCTGCCGTCGGGCGGGAGCACGGGGGTGGTGGTCGTGGTTAGGAGGAGGTGCGCGTATTGCTAATCGCACTATTTCATCAGGCAGCTTGACCACACACTCGGTACAACACGGTATACGGTGTGATCTGGCCCACGGATCGAAGGAAACTCTGTGCTTGGGAAAATGTAGATATATCAACGTACGGGAAGCACGGGAAAATTATCTCCCGGTTTAAGGATGACGGATGAAGCTCAGCCTCATGACACTTGTACTCCGTGCGGAATTTGTCTTCCCCTCAGCTTCCGCGTGGATCCGTACGGTATAGTAGTACTTTCACCTTTCTTTATGGTATGTGGCTGTGTGCGAGTTATTACAGTAGTGGATTTCCCTCTACGGGCCCTCCCTGCGTTTCGTAATTCGGCATTACTTTTTCGCGGAATGAAAAGTCTAGACTTGAAGTTACACCACCAGTCGGTTCCTGTTTGTGGTGTGTACGCGAACGCCGTATATCATTTCGGGGTTGTTTACATCAATCCATGTACGGTCATGGGAGTTCGTTTCGCGTTCTGGGAAAAGAAGAGTAGTCTAGACAAGACACACTGAAGGCTATATAAACGACATCGCGGGGGTGGGGAGGGCAGGGACACAACGAAAGGAAAATATTGAAAATAACATACAATACGAACGAACCTAAAATCTCACCCGGGACGGACGAGCAGTTGGCTGGGACATGTTGTAACTTTGGCCGATACAGCAGTACATGCAGCATGCGCTCACCTTCTGGCCACCGAGGAAAGGGCAGCTGGCGGATGCGGGCACTGCAGCCAACGCGAGCGCGGCCAAGACCCCGAGTTTGCACGTGCGACTCATGGTGTCCACGCAGCGCGATGTGTAAGCTGGTGCGGAGAACAACGCGTGAGAGGGCGAAAATACTAAGATTTGATGCCGGCGATACCGCATGGAGTGATGATAGGGTCTACCGCATGACGGATGGGGAGGCAGTGCCGCCTGCTGCTTTGAATTCTTCCCAAACCCAGGCTACAATTTTTCGCGTTCTGTCGCACATCGCCCTGTTTTCATGGACTGCTGCAGTGGCTGTGGTGCTCTCCCGGCAAGCATCACGCCTTTGGCTTGTGAACGTGATGGATGTCAGAGTTACGGAAGGCCAGGATCCTCGGGGCCTCTCAGAAAGGAAATGAACGCTGTATCCACACTAGACTATACAGCAGTACACACAACATAGCAGTAAACTATGCTGTGCATAGACATAGACTATGCACAGCAATCTACTTTAGATGCTCACCGGTGGCTGATTCACCTCCCAGGTGCGTCCAGGCTTGAGAGCTGAAGAGGGTTTGGTGCTTGGTGGTCCCAACCGGTTGTTGTGAGGAGAGGGGGCAGCCAGCGAGCGGGGGCAGAGAGCGGGGGTGCCGGCGAGTTGAACAAAAAAAGAAGGGAAAAGAAGTTGAAAAGAGTCTGCTTCTTTTCCCCGAGAAGGGCCGAGAGATCGGCGGGATAGATCGGCGGGAGAATACAACGATCCGAAGCCCGGCTTGCGGATTTTGATGTTTTGGACGGGAAAAATCCATTCTACGTACCGTAGGTGACAGAAGATATCACACCCCATGGGCCGACTTGCACGGCACGGCAGAAAGAGGGGTGGTGCCGGCAATCGCGGCGATCGTACCGCCTCGTCGAGAGAGAGCCTCGCAAGATTGCGTCTTTCGTTTTGATCCACCCTCTTTCGCCGTGTGGAGTACTCGAGCTTTGAAAATCGGTCCGGGAAGGGGTGTGTTATCTTATGTCATCTGAGGGATGTATTGGTACACGTTTTCAAGAGCCGGGAGAACGGGAGGTAGACAATGTATGCTGCCGACCAAGGTACATCGGCTTTTTTTGTGCGGAAGCGCGGATAGAAGCAAAACACCAGTGGATCTAACCGACGTCCGTGGAGAAGGATAGACTCTTATTCTCACGTTGGTGGCAGCGGAAGGCAGGCAGGCCCGGTCCGAGTGTCAAAAAGTGTTGACAACGGTGATGCCCACGAATGAATGGCAAGGAGGGAAAAACTAACGAACGAATAAGTTTGTGATCTCCTCCGAGCAAGCAGCGCTCGACGCCGAGTTGTTGTCAAGAAGTGGGCAAAATAAACCTGAAATAACTAACCTATTATTTGAACCTAACGTTGCCCACAATGATGTGCAATTAGATTTGAATTGAGTTTTATCTGTCATATCAACGACATAAAAAGTGCGTCTCTTCTTTTTGGTTGGAGGGGTACGGAAGAGGAGGTGGTGGACAGATATCTTGTTGAATGCGAAGGCAGCATCGGTCGGTGCGCTATTATAGCTATGACACGACCGTGTGATTTTTTGTTTGTTTCTACCATCGGGTAATGACAAGAGAAGAAAATATTGACCGAAAGGAACAAAAGAAAAAACCTCACCAGGTTGGGCCCAAAATAGGCAAACAAACTACTACTTCAAGCAGTTCTCTCTTCGTCCCAATTATTCAGGGCGCCACTCCATATCCTTTTGTGACTCTGGCGCACTATCCCCCGGGTCTCATCCCACACGAGGAATTTCTCCACAGTTCCCCGCAATGTCTGCCGTCAAACAATCATCGAAGGGTGTTGGTGGGAATACTAATCGTGCGAACAACCCAGAGTCAGCCGCTATTATTGCAGATGTTGAGACAATCAAGGCCTTCCCGCGATGGCACTGATAGGGATGATGTGCCTGGAGCACATGCACACACGCTTGGTTGGACTCTTCGTTTTCGATCCCAACGCGTTTCAGTGCAGATAAAACACGTGGTGGAGGTCTCGCAGGCAGCGACCGATCCCCCCCCCGCCCTCAGCTCGCGTGGTGCCGCCACATGTAAACTACTCCAAACGCCAGAGGGTAAAATAAACAGGCAAACTAGCAGCCTTGCGAAAAACCAAATCCCGCCTACAACAATATAATACTCATTCTAGCTGGCGCCTCTGCAATCACAGACAAAAAAACGTCATGCGCATCGAGACAGAAAAAAAAGTCCTGTTTGTAGCGAAGAGCCCGCGTCAACAACAGCATCTACAACCGACCACCGGCGTCACCACACGTCAGGCCCAATCCCACACAGACAGCTCCAAACACAGAACGATACATGCATCGTGAACCGACACAAACATGCGTCGGGATTTATCTCGTGCTAATCTCAACAGCGTCACCGTAGCTGTCACCAACCAACCTCAAGCCGCGCGCCGATTTGTCAATCTCTTGTGTCCTCGGAGCCAGACGCCCGCCATCGATTCCTGTCTACGGACTAGCTGCACCGGGTGGATGATTCTACTACAGGCTCTTGCTTCACGCCTTGTCTCTCGGCGCGAACAGAGTCTGCGCCATGAACCTCAAGCCGTACACGTTGCGGACCTCGACGTCGAAGTAGGGCACCAAGGTCAAAGAAACCCCGGCCGCGCCCTTGGCAACCTGCGGCACGAGCGACGCGAGAAAAGCGCCAGCCGTGTGCCCGGGACGCACGTCCCAACACCAAGCGCGGAGGAAGTCAGGGTCAAGACTGAGAGTGAGGAACTGTTTGTGCGTGGGGGGGGGGGGATTGCATGCCTTAATTGTGAGACTTTTGACCACCAGTTCTCTAGA